CATGTACAGAATGCTATTTCTACCAAAAATATTCCTACATATATATGCTGCATGAATCTGTATGTACAAGGATATTTAATGCAAAATTATGTGTAAAAACAGAATTAGAAACAAACTGTTATATTATGAAAATATTTACATATATTATGAAAACTACCTATATGTATAAGTCAGATAGATAACTCTGACAAAACACATATCTGTATATTGAAATGGAAAATTTCCAAAATATACAAGTTACAGGAAAAAGAAAGATAACAATAATGAAAAATAATATTTATATTTTTAAAAACCTTATATATAAAGGGGATAACTGCACAACATTGTGATGTACTTAATGCCACTAAATTATATACTTAAAAATGTAAAAAGTAGCAAGTTAGTGTTAGACATGTTTTATCATAGTAAAAAAGCACACAGCAGATAAAACAAACCACATATATATATTTACATATAAGAATATAAATGAAGAGCTAAAGATCTGACAGAATCTATACCAAATATTTAATTTGTATTTGAAAGGGGTATATTTTTAAACTAAAGAGATGACTTATAGCTTTAATCACATTTTCAAAGAAGTCTACAAGATTAATAACTACTGGACTAAAGAAGTAAGATAGCCACCAATAAAAACTGGACACTATTCTGTCAAAAATAATCAATTTCACTGTACAATGGTGGAACTACTAGCTTGAGGTATTTGAATTCACGAACTATTAAATCTGTGTAACAAATCTCCATAGCAAAGTATGTGAGTTCTTCGAGCCAACTGTAGGTTTAACTATTTGTTTCTAGGAATAGGAAGAGCAAGTAGGAAGCTGGGCTGCCTGGCAAAGCCCACCGTGACCATCAGTTCAGACGGAGAGGTGGTTACTATAAAAACCAAGAGCATCTTTAAGAATAATGAGATCTCCTTTAAACTTGGTGAAGAGTTTGAAGAAACCACACCAGGTGGCCATAAAACCAAGGTGAGCCGTCTATCTGTCTTCTAGGTAACTTTCATAAGGGCTGGCCAGAAATCCTTCCAGGCTAGCAATAGCAGCAAACACTGTGGCTAAAACCTAAATCTGAACATAGTGAGCATTAACATGCATTGAAATCTCCTGGGATGCTTGTGGGATGTGCTTACCACTTAGCCCCCTACCTCCGGGCACTGAGGTCTGGGGTAGGCACCTGAAAACTGCATTTTTAACAATTTTGATTCAAATACTTAGTAGGTCACATTTTGAGAAATCATTTTTTAAGATCAATATCTAGTCCTCTCAGAAACAAAAGTTCTCTCTTCCTACACAATGAAAAACAATGAATAAAGCCTGTGACAGCTGGTATAGGCAATGCAATGGCTCCATAACAGATGAGTCACAGGTCTCAGTGATTTAATATAATGGGAAATTTTTGTAACTCGATTTACAGGCAATGTTAGGGGTGGAATTGAAGGAGGCTGTGTGTGTGTGTGGTGGGGGGTGGGCCGGATTTCCTCTCTCAGGGATCCAGGCCAAAGATGTTTTAGTTACTTTGTACCCAAGAGATAAAGAGG